TGAGGCGCGGGAAGGGCTTCACTCCTCTTTTTTTTTTTTTTTCCCTCCCATCAGGCCTGGGAGATGAGCCTAAATGGACTGAGGAGAAAAAGTTCAATGGAAAGATCATCCAGTTTATATATCGTGTCTTTCATTCCCGTGATACTTAGCAATATTTAGAAGTTAAAAAAAAGAAGCAGCAGTCTGTATACATTTTATTTTAAAGCCTAAGAACCAGATTATAGATTTCTTATAAGACTACTGAATGTAAGTTAAGATCTCTGGCTGCTAGTCCAGATGTTGAAGCCTGGAAGAGTGCTCATGTAGTCCTAGCAAAAGGCAAATGCTTCATCAAGCTTCTTCCTTAAGTTTGGTTATCACTGACTGAATAAAATAATGGGGAAAATGAGATTAATTTCATAAAATATTTAAAAACAGAATTGCTTGTGTAGTCAGGCTTTATGATTCTATGAAAGATTAATTCCATCAGCCAAACCTAACATTGTTCTTGGGTGTGTTTGTAGAAACTGACTAAAGTAATTTGATAGCTATAGATATTCTTAATCAAACTCTCTATTATTGTGACACTACAGCTAAAAAAAACCATTGCATTATCCTTTCAGTAACAAACAGTACAGAGATTAATTATTGTATCAGTACTGTACTAGTGGCTACTTGAAGAATTCATGCTAATTAAGGATATATGTACTAGGAGTTGCAAGAGGTCCGATAGTGTGCAACATCAGGGATCTGTCAGTTCATGTGTGACTGTTTTTGCTATTGTTTGCAAATGGCATAACCTGTTAAAGTGGTGAACTGAAGGAAGCGGATTGCTCGATATGCTAAGCATTCGAATGAAGTTTGTGTTAAGGCCAAACAGAAATGTTTATATGAAGGAAGAGAGACTGTTGGCTTCATTTAATGTACAGGAGAAAGCATCTTGGAGAGCAGTCTTTTTGCAATTGATGTAGGTAGTCAAAATAATTAAGCAACTTAACATGAACTCTTAGCACAATGTTGCAGCAAAAAAGATTAATAGTATCTTTGAATGTGTAGGCAAGGAAGTAGTGAGTAGGGTTAGGAAGGAGATTTAAAGTTCTATAAAGTGTAGGTGAAAATGATACCAGTCTATAAAGTACAATTTTGAAACTCTTTGTTTTCAAAAAGGAAGGTGAAAGTTTTGAGTGCTCCAAAATGAGCAGTAAAAATGTTTTAAGAATACTGGTGAGAAACTTAAATAGCAAGGTCAGCTTAACTGATTAAATGGAGGATGAAGAAGCATCTTGAACACAGGAGAGAAGTCATCTCTATCATCTTTAAGTGGTTAGGCAGGAGAGAGTTCAGTGAGAACATGAGCTTAGAGTGATCAGAAAAAAAGAAGTCTTGGAGTGCTATTTTCTTTTTCTGTAAAGACTAGGGAACAATATAGAGTGGTTGCATATCTTGAGCAGTGTGTGTAGTCTTTATATACCCACCTCCCAAGGATATCACAAAAGTAGAACAGCTATGGAGAAAGGTGATGCGTACAAAGATGAGGATGTGGTTGCCCTATAAGGACTAAACAGTAACCTGTCATAACCTGCAAGAGCTGGCTGACAGAGGTATCAGTATGACAATATAAATGGAGAAGGTGAATAGTAAAACTTGCTTTTCAATTCTATTTTTTTAAACACAAGAACTAGAAAGAACAGAACAGAAAACACTTTCAAGAGCAGAGATTTTTCATAAAATTCACAATTTAAGCTGCAGAGCTCCTCATCAGAGGATGCTGCGGATGCTCCAAGATCATGTAGATTTGAGAAGCATCTGGTTAGATTCGTAAGGGAACCAACTGGGTAAAGTAATGAGAGAGAGGTTTTTCGTGTTGTATGGAGTGCAAAGATTTCACCTCTGACTGAGGAAGTCCCTGAACTGCAAGTCGTGATAGACTGGAATAATACTTTGGAGAATTAACACTACATGGTTTCCCAGTTCCTCTACTTTTCTTTATGCTCTGCCTGTGAGCTGTTGTGGAGTTGGGAAGCTGGGCTGCACAGATGATTGACACCTCCTGATACAGCTGCTATTATGTTCAGGATACAAACAAATGAAACTGAAGCCAGAAAATTTAGAATAAAACATTAGGATGCATTTCTGGAGCAAGAAAACAGATCTGTGTCCTCCTTTCTGTTCAGGAAGAATCTTCCTTTAGTTTAGTGAAGTTTAGAGACATCAGAATACAAGGTGAGACTAAGTGACTGTAATGATTTCCTAAGGTTAAGTGCTATGAATAGCAGGTTAGGTATAGCAGTGAAGTCACAGCTATGCAAAATATAACTATTATGAATCCAAGAGAGTTAAAACATTGAGGATGGAATAGGAAACTATGTTTATTGACAGAATGTAACTCTGGACTGAAATGATAGCATGTGAGGAAAATATGAATCTTTTAGTATAAGAAATTGCTCAAGTCATAATAATGTTGGTTGGAAGGAAGCTCTGAAGGTCATATGCTCTAAATCCCTGCTCAAAGCAGGGTCAATTCAGAGCAGGTTGCTTGAAGTCTTGTTGAGTTTGGGCTATCGTCCGAGCTCTGAGATTCTGTAACATCTCCGCATGGCTTGTTCAAGTATCTAAGCATTCTCATTTTGATTGTTTTTGCTTATTCTTTATTTGAATTTCCCTTGCTGCAGCCAATGTCTGTTGCACTTCGTCCTTTCATTGCTCATTTTGGAGAAGATGCATCTTCTCTGTAGCATATCTTGAGGCAGTTAAAATCAGTAATAAGATGAGTCCTTAGCCCTGTAAACATGCATACACATGCACACACACAGAGGCATATATGTGCGAAAATTTCACTTCTGAGGAGCACCTTGGGGAGGAATAACCCCAGGCACCAGTACAGATTAGGGGTTGACCTGCTGGAAAGCAGGTCCATGGAGAGGGATTTGGGAGTTGTGGTTGACTACAGGTTAACCAGCAGGCAGCAATGTGCCCTTGTGGCCAAGAAGGCCAATGGGCTCCTGGCTGCAGCAGGAGGAGCGTTGCCAGCAGGGCGAGGGAGGGGATCCTGCCCCTCAGCTCTGGTGAGGCTGCACCTGGAGTGTTGGGGTAGTTCAGGGCTCCCCAGGACAAGAGGGACGTGGAGCTTCTCGAGAGGGTCCAGCATAGAGCAATGAAGATGATTAAGGGACTGGAGCATCTAACGTATGAGGAAAGATGAAGCGAGCTGGGCCTGTTTAGCTTGGAGAAGACAAGACTGAGAGGGGATCTCGGGGAGGATGGGGCCAGACTCTTCTTGGTGGTGGCCAGTGACAGGACAAGGGGTAATGGGTACAAATTAAACACAGGAAGTTCCGTCTCCATATGAGGAAGAACTTCTTTGCTGTTTACGTGCCAGAGCCCTGGCACAGGCTGCCCACAGAGGCTGTGGAGGCTCCTTCTCTGGAGATCTTCAAACCCGCCTGGATGGACCCTGTGCCCCTGCTCTGGGTGTCCCTGCTGGAGCAGGGGTTGGACTAGACGATCTCTAGAGATCCCTTCCAGCCTCAGCCGTTCTGCGATTCTGTGATGTATGCATGTTTGAGATGATTTTCTCTGCGTGTAGTATTTTATTGTAAATGTTAGCTATAACAGGTGGCATAAAGCAAACGGATGGGAGAGAGGAGAGGGTATGTCTAAGTATCACTGTGACAAGTTACCTAAACAGTATTTTCTGAAATTTGCTGACTCTGTTTGCTAGAAGAGATGAGACTGAATTTGGTAATATAGATGGAAGGGTAATTGTATTTGAATTTCTCTCTTTCATGTTGTGTGTTAAGTCTTGAGAAAACTCTTGAGAAAAGTGAAGAACAAGTTACTGTTCATAAGCTATCTTGAAAGAAGTGATTGAAACCAATATGCACATCCATATTAATTTGGAAATCGTGTGGCTTGACAGGATGAGAAAGGTACATATTTAGGAGCTATTTAGTTACAAAATTCTTAATACATTCCTTTTTCCTCACTAATAGATTCTTTAATTTCTTAAGCTTTAGAATTTGTCATGTAACAAAAAAACTTGAATATGGTGCTGTCATCACAGCCATTCAAAACTGAGGGAGAGCTAATAATAATAATAATAGTAATAATAAAAGAGTGCATGTTTCAGGTGAGGAATGCACAGTTTGGGAAGAAATGAGTTATGTTATAAATATTAACATAATTCTGTTTCCTGTTAATTTACAGGTATGTCATGCTTTTAAGCAAGAGATAAACTTCAACAGCCAGAGGTAGACCCAGTGACAGATGGATGAAGCAAGATGGGTTGAGTGCAGGCAGAATAACCTTATTCCACTGTAAGTATGCAACTGTACCTGCTTAAAGTAGCAGGTATTTTTTTTTCCATTTATCTATATTTAATACCAAAGGTTACAGAGTGTCTGTTAGACCTCTCAACAAGATGAGAACTAGAGTCATGATGGTATGACAATATTATGTTGTAATACTGCACATAGATATTTCTGTGAATGCTTTGTTGAGACTCTCCTAGAATATAATGCTTGCTACTTCCTAAGGTATAATTCCCTCAAATGCATGCCTTCAAACCCCACTCGGTCCACAACTTGTTCTAAGGATTAATTGCTTTTGAAAGAACTACTGGAGAGAGAACAGCAGGTTTGTTTTCATAGGGATCAAGGTTGTATGGAGATTCTTAACTTGATATTTGTTATTCAGTCTCTGTTAAGAACAAGTAATGCTTTTTGAGGTTATTGTCCTTAACCTGAGAAATAATTTTCGCTTCATTCCTTTCCACATTATGCAGCAGTGCTCACTCATTTTCTTCTTATTTTAAAACATAATCTTTCTCTTCTTAGTGTTTGAAAAAAGTTGCTGCTGGTTTTATTTGAACTAAGTAACTGCCCATTAACACAGAGATAATTATGTTTACATAGTTGTAAATGTTCATTTGTTTCAAGACCAAATATTTGTGTGTGTGTTGTTTGTTTGTTTTGTTTTTTCTTCATTGATCAAAGAGTGACATTCAAACCATTGGAAACCCAACATACCCTGCAGTTTCAGGGTGTAAGCAATCCTGGATTGGCGTTTCTGTTCTCGCAGATCTGTCCGTTTGACTCCTGAGAGGGTGTAAGTGCCAGCAGGCAGCCTCACTGGACTGCACTTGTAGAGTTGATTCCTGCAGACTATTAACTGAATTGTGTGGATTAAGACAAATGCATCATGACAGGGACTTGCAGTACTATGGCTGCGTTTTTGCAAAGAAGTGGCCACTAGAGTAGCAGTGTAGTGTTCTTTGCCAGAAAATTGACAGCAGCAGTTCCAGGACATTCCTTTAAAAAAAGAGTCAGCAAGAGACTGATCTGGAGAATCTGGTCTGGTAACCTGCTTTAACTGATGTGTAAGTTGTCCTCACACAATTCTCTGTTGCAATGAGAATTTTGTCCTTCATTCCACTTCACTTAATATTCAACCAGGCTTTAAACCAGATTCCTATGTCAGGAGTGATTCCTGAGCTGCTCTGGTCGGGCAGAGGTACATCCTTCTCCAGACTTCTCTGCTGCAGGAGCCTCAGATTGACAGTTCCATTTTGCAGTGTGTGTTAGTTGAAGCAAGCAGACATTTACACTGTGTATTGTAATGTTTGACAGTATCTAAGTAAGATAAACACTTATTTCTTATTTTTAAAAGGTTGCTGTAAAATAAGTTCTCCAGATAATTGTATATGTATCAAAAAGAAAAAACAATAAAACGTTTCCTTCAATTTTCATACAAGAATATGTACTTGGTAGACTTTGAGTTATGCTTACTTTATAAAGCATGGGAGAGTTAAGATATTTTGAAAACAGGTCATTAATAAGTTAAGAATCAGTGCCACCTAGTGGAATGTTACAAAGCTTCCCATGTTCTAAAAGTCTTAAATTAGGTTTGGAGAGGAGAGCCTAGAGCTTTTTATGATTGACACGTCATGATAAATTCTAAATTAGAGGCATGATGCTGTTCAGGCAGCTTCCAGCAAAGGGTACTCGAGTTGTTTTGTTCTGTTTTGTTTTAGTAGTCATTTTCTTAAATTAAGAAATGCCCACTTTTTCAAAAGCAATAGACCATGTGAGATATTCCTGCTAATTCTGGACATTTGAGTACTAAACCAGCTTTTAATATTAGTGCACTTAAATATCACAAAGGCTTTTTGACATTAGTCAGTACTGCAAAGGTTAGTTCTTACTAGATGCTAGTTGTAGCATACTGTTAATTTGCTGTTTCAGAATGTATTCATGATGTTTAATGTGACAGTGCATCCTCTAATCTTGAGAATGGCACCAAATATGAAGCTTCAGCTAGTTTTGCCAACCCAACTGAAATTAGAGTGTAACACGACTGGGAATTACTGCTTCAGTTGTGAGGCATTATTAGTTTCATGAAGCAAATGAAAAGCTGTTTCTTCCAGAAGCAGAAAATGTATTCTAAAGTTGATAACTGACTCTTTTTTGTTTTTGTTTTTTGTTTTATTTGAAATTGCAAGCAGCGGCATCAGTTTTTAGACTATTCATCCATTTTTGGTATCTCCACAGAACAGTGAGATTAATTACTTTAGAGAGAGTTGGCCTTTTTTTTTTTTTTAAATACAGCATGCTTTTTCTTTCTCCTTTCTCTTGTATTCTGACAGCTTAGTCTAGTGGACACAGCAAGAGCAGATGCAGCATTTATCAAACTTGGGGAGAAGAATCTGTGACATTGTGATATGGCAATACATATCATTTCAGTAAGAAACTCTTAACTTGTTTAGGTATCCAGGCTTATTAGTTAATGCTATTATCTTGATGTAATTTTATTCATGCAGTTTACTATGTTTAATTTTTTAAGATAGCTTCAATCATGTAATTACATTTTGACACAGTAAATAATGGGAGATGGAACAGAATGGGTTGGGGGAGTAAGAGAACACTTAATAATGAACTTCTAAGTATAATAAATAAATGGTGGTTAGAGTGAACCGAATCACCAGTACAAATAGTATTCCATATCCCAATCACAATACAAAGAGTATTCCATATCCAAACCTTTTTGAGGCTTGTACTTCTTCATGGTTTCACCAACCAAGGATGCTGTAGGGCATTTAATAATTTTAAAATAAATTTTTGATTTAAGAGCATTATGAAGAGCCTTTAAGAGGACAGTTTCATTATCCTTTAAAAATAATTAGAAAGGTCTTATTTTTGTTCAGCATGTGGAATGTCAGTCTGCCTTTTTAGTGTAGTGATTGTCTCAGATTCTTTTTATATATGTAGGTTGCCCTGGAACAGTAAGTTCTTTTGAAAATTCTTTGAAAAGTGCTCTGGTATGAAATGTGACTAATAAAGTAGTGTATATCCTAGTACCACAACTGAGATATGAGTTGTTTTTAACCTGCTTTGAGGTAAAATTTAAATCAGTTGTGCACATAAAGCCCAGTAAGACTGGGACCTGGTTTTTGAAGTTGTTTCTTAAATGCATCAGAGCAGCTACTGGCAGCTGGAATACTGCCTCATTGCTTGTGGTTGAATTCATTTGCATGTACATACACTAGTAATGGGAGTTGGAAGACTTAGGTGGTGTTTAGTGCTTTGGAGGCAACTTTGGAGTCCCTTTTTCATGGATTAGATTTTGATTTTTTTGCAACAATTGGGACATGCTGTAACAATTTTCTCAGCCTTTTTTCTTAGGATTAATGTATGTTAGTGATGAATACTTCACTTAGTTTAGCAATTTCAGGTTGTGATCCGTTAATGCAGTAGGCAAACTGGTAAGTAATCCTCAGATCGTTAAAAGCATTAAAAGTGTTTATAGTCTTTTTGATTATAATTCTGTGTTGATTCATTGATGATTGACAGATCTCGTGATCCTAAATCTGGGATATACTTTGTTAGTTAGGCTCAGTTTTTGTATTTATGCTGATAATAAAACAGTGTCTGGAATAAATTGCTGCACTGAATGTGTTTCCTCTCAAAATACGTAACTTCGCTGCATCTTGTCACAGCCCAGTTGAGGTTTTTATATGCAGGAAAAGTATTCCGTTCATTATTAATGTTATTCATCATTAATTATAGTAGGAAGTTTCTCAGAGTAGTATGTGCATAAAAATACTTTCAACTTGTTCATAGCATATTTCATCTATAGGTGGTACTGTTGCCTAAAGCATAATGAAACGGGGATTTTCTAGTGAAACTGATCCTGAAAATGTGTGCACAGGACAGCCACTGCTTATGAGGATCTTTAATCACATAAATGCAAAGGCTTTTAATCTTGTATAGTGTAATTATTTTGTTTCTTACTAGACTGAGTAGGCATTAATTATTTGCAATCAGGATTTTGAATATTCTAGAATTTTGTGTGTGATACAAAATGGCCACAGGTTTTTGCTTGCTGTTAAATTATTTCAAAAGGGCAAGCATTCTTCTCATATAAAGCATTGTGACTGTTTAGATAACTCATGTACCTTACATGTATACATGTGCACACGTTTTTAGACATTTTACATGTGCATTCCGTGTACTAAATATGTCAGAGGGAGTAGTGCCAGTTAGGAATAAAATGGTTTTGTACCAGTGTTGCTTAATGCTTTGGAGGTTTATGCATCAAACCTTCTTACGTTCTCCCCCTCATAGGGCAGATGTTCCAGGCCCCTGATCATCCTTGTAGCCCTGCGCTGGACTCTCTCCAGCAGCTCCACATCCCTCTTGTCCTGTGGAGCCCAGAACTGGACACAATTCTCCAGATGTGGCCTCACCAGGGCTGAGCAGAGGGGCAGGATCCCCTCCCTCGACCCGCTGGCG